CTCCCATAACTCCCACATGTACTGCAATAGTGAGAGGTACATTAGGGTAGAGAGGGCAGGTGAGGGCAGAGAGGCAGGTGAGGGGTGAGAGGCAGGGGAGGTAGAGAGGGCAGGTGAGGGGTGAGGTAGGGGGGCAGAGAGGGCAGGGGAGGGTGGTGGCAGTGAGGAGAGAGGGCAGGTGAGGGAGAGGGGCAAGTGAGGGTGGTGGAGGTAGTGAGGGCAGGTGAAGGTGGAGGGCAGGTGAGGGTGAGAGGGCAGGTGAGGGTGGTGAGGGTAGTGAGGGCAGAAGGTAGAGAGGCAAGTGAGGGTAGAGAGGGCAGGTGAGGGCAGAGAGGGCAGGTGAGGGCAGAGAGGGCAGGTGAGGGTAGAGAGGCAGGAGGGCAGAGAGGCAAGTGAGGGCAGGTGGAGGCAGAGGAGGAGGGCAGAGAGGGCAGGTGAGGGTAGAGAGGGCAGGTTAGGAGAGAGGCAGGTGAGAGCAGAGAGGCAAGTGAGGTAGAGAGGGCAGGTGAGGGTAGAGAGGGCAGGTGAGGTGGAGGGCAGGTGAGGGTAGAGAGGGCAGGGGAGGATAGTGGGAGGCAGGAAGGCTGGCGGTGTGTGGCATCGTATGTACTGTATTGGTCAGCCTGTCATTACTTAGAGAGAGAGAAAAGAGAAAGGTTAGTGGTGTTGGCTCTCTCTCTCTCTCCTCTCTTTCAGATATACAGACATTAAAACACCTGCAGTATGAGGAAGGTATGAGGAAGATGTGAGGGAAGATATGAAGGAAGAAATATGAGGGAAGATAAGGGAAGATATGAGGGAAGATATGAGGGAAGGTATGAGGGAAGATATGAGGAAGAGATGAGGGAAGATATGAGGGAAGGTATGAGGGAAGGTAGAGGGAGGAAGGAGGGAAGTATGAGGGAAGATATGAGGAAGGGAGAGGAAGATATGAGGGAAGGTATGAGGGAAGTATGAGGAAGGGTATGAGGGAAGATATGAGGGAAGAGATGAGGGAAGATATGAGGGAAGGTATGAGGAAGGATGAGGAAGATATGAGGGGAAGTGATGAGGGAAGATGAGGGAAGATATGAGGGCAGATATGGAGGGAAGGTATGAGGGAAGATATGAGGGAAGATATGAGGGAAGGATGAGGGAAGGTGTGAGGGAAGGTATGAGGGAAGATATGAGGGAAGGTATGAGGGAAGGTATGAGGGAAGGTATGAGGGAAGGTAAGGAGGAATGAGGGAAGGTATGAGGGAAGGTATGAGGGAAGATATGAGGGAAGATATGAGGGAAGGTATGAGGGAAGAGCTGGCCGCCTCATTGGCTCCTTCGGCCGGGGGAAAAATTGAACGGTGAGGCAACATGCAAGACCCGAGCCGTTGTTTATGTGGAGGAAATTTATAGTTGTGTATCTCTCTCTCTCTCTCTCTCTCTCTCTGCTTTCTCTAATGCTCTCTCATATATCTCCTCCTCTTTCTTATCTCTCGCTCTGTCTGTCTCTTCCAAAACTAGTACAGCCACCTCTGTCTGATTATGTACTCCCTGACCACCCCTTACCCCTCGTATATAGCCCCTGACTGCTCCTGACCACCCTGACCCTGCAAACCACACCTGACCCATATAACCACCCCAACCACCGCTGGCAACCTTTGACACCTGACCAACCCCTCCTGACTAGTCCTGATCACCCCAAACCTCCCTTAACTACCCCTGACCCTTCCTAACCGACCCTAACCACCTATGACCTCTATTAACCCCTGACTCCAACCACCCCTGACCCCTCCTGACCACCCCTGACCCCATCCTATTGAGGCATAACAAACACTTGGTCAGCTGTATAAACCAACACCTAAATCACACGAGTCCTCTGCACACACAAACACGGGGGAGCGTGTGTGTGTGTGTGTGTGTGTGTGTGTGTGTGTGTACTGTGTGTGTGTGTACTGTATGTGCGTCTGTGTGTGTACATAGTGTAGTGTGTGTGTGTGTGTGTCTGTGAGTGTGTGTATCGTATGTGTGCGTCTATGTGTGACATAGTGTAGTGTGTGTGTGTGTGTTGTGTACTGTGTGTGTGCGTCTATGCCTATGTGTACATAGTGTGTGTGTGTGTGTGTGTGTGTGTGTGTGTGTACATGTGTGTCTGCTAACACAGTGTGTGTGCTACAGTGTGTGAGTGTGTGTGTGAGTGTGTGTGTGTGTGTGTGTGTGTGTGTACATAGTGTGTGTGTAGTGTGTGTAGATAGTGTGTGTGTGTGGTGTGTGTGTGTGTACACAGTGTGTGTGTGCCTGTGTGTGTGTACACAGTGTGTGTGTGTGTGTGTGTGTGTGTGTGTTTACACAATGTGTGTGTGTGTGTGTGTGTGTGTGTGTACTGTATGTGTGTGTGTGTATGTGTACTGTATGTGTGTGTGTATGTGTGTGTGTACATAATGTGTGTGTGTGTGTGTACTGTATGTGTGCGTGTATGTATGTACAAGGTGTGTGTGTGTGTACTGCATGTTTGCGTGTATGTGTGTACATAGTGTGTGTGTGTGTGTGTGTGTATGTGTATGTGTGTGTGTGTGTGTGTGTGTGTGTTGTATGTGTGCGTGTATGTGTGTACATAGTGTGTGTGTGTGTGTGTGTGTGTGTGTACACAGTGTGTGTGTATATAGTGTGTGTGTGTGTGTGTGTGTGTGTGCACCTTCATATAAACTAATTAATCTGACGGGCTCACTTACCCCCGACACTGCTCTCTCTGTTACCTCCCCCCCTTTCCCTCACCTCCCTCCTTCCCTCACCTCCCTCCTTCCCTCACCTTCCATCAGAGAGCCGACCGTAAAAACAGAAGATTCAAGATGGCGGAAAGTCGGTATGAAGACTTTAAGAGATTAAAAGTGAGATAAACGGCTGGGATATCTTGCCTGTGAGAGAGAGAGAGAGAGAGATAGGGGGGTGGGGGGGGACAAGCCCTAAGGGAGAGTAAGGTAATTGCTCATTTTGTTGACGTCTTAAAAACAGTAATTTTTCTTATCTCTCTCAGCCACTAACTGTTAAATGGAGCAACAGTTAACAGTCAATAAAGTAACAGTACCAGTGAGTCAGTTACATACGTTCTCACATCACCAGTTAGGGGGAATATTTAACGTAGGAACCACTCAGGGGGGGCCAACATTACCACCAGGGCTGCCAACATTACCACTCAGGGCTGCCAATATTACCACTCAGGGCTGCCAATATTACCACTCAGGGGCCAACATTACCACTCAGGGCTGCCAACATTACCACCAGGGCTGCCAACATTACCACCAAGGCTGCCAACATTACCACTCAGGGCTGCCAACACACACTCAGGCTGCCAACATTACCACTCAGGGCTGCCTAATATTACCACCTGAGGGCCAACATTACCACTCAGGCCAACATTACCACCAGGGCTGCCACACACACCACAGCTAACATTACCACCTCAGGGCTGCCAACATTACCACTCAGTGCTGCCAACATTACCACCAGGGCTGCCAACATCACCACTCAGGGCTGCCAACATTACCACTCAGGGCTGCCAACATTACCACTCAGTGCTGCCAACATTACCACACCAGGCTGCCAACATTACCACCAGGGCTGCCAACATTACCACTCAGGGCTGCCAATACCACTCAGGGCTGCCAACATTACCACTCAGGGCTGCCAACATTACCACCAGTGCTGCCAACATTACCACTCAGGGCTGCCAACATTACCACCTCAGGGCTGCCAACATTACCACTCAGCTGCCAACATTACCACCAGGTGCCAACATTACCACCAGTGCTGCCAACATTACCACCAGGCCGCTAACATTACCACTCAGGCTGCCAACATTACCACTCAGGGCTGCCAACATTACCACTCAGGCTGCCAACACCACTCAGGGCTGCCAACATTACCACCAGTGCTGCCAAATTACCACACCAGGGCTGCCAACACACCTCAGGGCTGCCAACATTACCACTAACATACCACTCAGGCTGCCAACATTACACCCAGGCTGCCAACACACACCAGGGCTGCCAACATTACCACCTGGCTGCCAACACACTCACCAGGGCTGCCAACATTACCACCACCAGGCTGCCAACATTACCAACGTCCCTAATCCGCTTTAAGTCGTTTTGTTTATAAAGAGGAAATATTAAATGTGTGTGTGTGTGTGTATAGGTGTGTGTGTGTGTGTGTGTGTGTGTGTGTACAGTAAATAGTAAACAAAACACAATTAACATATTCATGTCGCTTACCTAAGACAGGTACACGAGAACCTGCTCTACCTCACACACACACACACTCACAACACTCCCCCACACACACACTACACACACACACTACACCCCCCCACACACACACACACACACACACTACAACACCCTCCCCACACACACACACTACAACACTCCCCCACACACACACACACACCACAGCACTCCCCACACACACACACACTACAACACTCACACACACACACACACACACACTACAACACTCCCCACACACACACACACACACACACACAACACTCCACACACACACACACACACTACAACACTCCCCACACACACACACACTACAACACCCCCACACACACACACACACCCCAACACCCCCACACACACACACACTACAACACCCCCACACACACACACACACACTACAACACTCCCCCACACACACACACACACTACAACACTCCCCCACACACACACACACACACTACAACACTCCACACGCATACAGAAATACCTACTCACCTACAACCATCTCAACAACCACTTATAACCACTAACAACACTTACCTACAAACCACACACTTACCTACAACCACAACACTTACCTACAACCACAACACTTACCTACAACCACAACACTACCTCCAACCACAACACTTACCTACAACCACAACACTTACCACAACCACAAACACCCCACCAACACTTACCTACACCTGCAACACTTACCCATACCCGCAACACTCCTCACAACAACTGCAAAACCCTTACCTACAACCATCATGCGGCCAAAGCGGTTGAGCGTGTTGAATGAATCCTCGACAGATATCTCACAGCGGTAGAGCCCAGACGACCTGAAGTCCAGTCTCTTGAGCACAACCCGAGACGCGTTAGACTTAGACGGCTGAGGAGAGAGGTTAGGTTACGTTAGATTTAGGTTAGGTTATAGTTAGGTTATTGTCCCTCACATTCCCACACAGCAGGCGTCCCTCACCTCCCCTCACACCAGGCGTACCTCACCTCCCCACACCCAGGCGTCCCTCAGGCGTCCCTCACCGTCCCTCACAAAGGCGTCCCTCACCTCCCCTCACACCAGGCGTCTCACCTTCCTCACACCAGACGTCCCCACCTCACACCAGGCGTCCCTCAACCTCCCTCACACACCAGGCGTCCTCACCTCCCCCTCACACCAGGCGTCCTCACCCCTCACACCAGGCGTCCCTCACCTCCCCCCACACCAGGCGTCCTCACCTCCCCTCACACCCAGCGTCCCCACCTTCCCCACACACCAGGCGTCCTCACCTCCCCACACCAGGCGTCCCTCACCTCCCCTCACACCAGGCGTCCCTCACCTCCCCCAGGCGTCCCTCACCACACACACCCACCCCCACCAGGCGTCCTCACTCCCCCCACACCACCAGGCGTCCTCACCTTCCCCCCACACCAGGCGTCCCTCACCTCCTCACACCAGGCGTCCCTCACACTCACCCACACCAGGCGTCCTCACCCCTCACACCAGGCGTACCTCACACTCCCCACACCAGCGTCCCTCACCTCCCTCACACCAGGCGTCCCTCACTTACACCAGGCGTCCCTCACACCCCCTTGTTTGCTCACTGTTACTAGAGACCGGGCGGCGGGCGGCGGCGGCGGCATTGTGAATCACGCGTCATTACGAAGAATTAAGAATCAACGAATATCCAAACTTGCGCCCATCCCACCCCGTCCCTGCCCATCCTGCCCACTCCACCCACCTTACTCAACCTGCCTACCCCACCCAAACCACCCACCCCACCCACTATGTCCATCTTACCTACCCAGACTACGCTACCCAACCGCACCCAGCCCAACCACCCTCACCCACCTCCTTCCCACCACACACACCTAGTTCACTAAACCCAGCCTCAAACCCACCCCACCCCACCCAACCACACCCCCACCCCGCCCTGCCCCACCCAGCCTCTTGGTCATATAGCAGCCCAAGCTGCAGTAAGAATCAGGAAGATTTTGGAATGTAAAATGATAATCTCACCCCGTGTCTCTCTCTTCTCTCAATCTCCTCTCTCTTTTCTCTTTTTTTTTTCTCTCTCGATATGTGCGTGTGTGTGTGTCGATATTTCTGTCTGTCTTTGTCTCCTTCTCTCTTTCTTTTATGTTATCTCTCTCTCTCTCTCTCTCTTTTCCTTAATTCTGTCTATCTCTGTTTCTCCTCTCTACCTCTATCACTCTTTTATCTCTCTCTCTCTCTGCAGGCAAACAAACCTTAGCAATACAGTGTTTGCTTCTCATTAGGAGGCACAGGGCCGGTGTTGAGAGCCGGGCGTCATAGCGACTCTGAGCCCACTAGGTTTATTTTCCGCCTCTCACAGCCCAGGGGCAGCCCTTTATAGGGGTGGGGGGGTGAGGGGGGGTGGGGATGGGGTAGGGGTGGAGAGGTGAGGGAGGGTTGATGGGGGTGGGGTAAGGAGGTTAGTGGTTAAGGTGATGGTGATGTAGAGGGTAGGGGAAGGGGTTGATGGGGAGGGGAGGTAGAGAAAGGTTGAGGAGGGGGGGGCAAGATGTGTTAAACTGATGTATATACTATTTAGCCCCTAACACCTCCTACAACCCCCCACCACATTCTCCTCTCATCTACCCTCCCCCCCTTTCTTCTCTCACCTCCTCCCCCACACACACAGCGATATGAAGTTTAAGTAAGAAAGAAAGAATGAGAGAGAGAGAGAGAGAGAGAGAGAGAGAGAGAGAGAGAGAGAGAGAGAGAGGAGGTGTGGGACGGCTGATACAGTAACCAGACGTAAACAAACAGACAGACAAACAGACAGACAGACAGACAGAGACTAAGGCACAGCGAGAGAGGCAAAATAAAAGACAGGTTGATAGACAGTCACACAAAAAAAAGAGACAGACAGACACACAAAGACCTAACTCACGTCTCAGCTCCGTGCAGGGCAGGATAAATTAGTCAATGTTTTAACCCTCGCATCACCCTCCTCCTGGTGTGTGTGTGTGTGTGTGTGTGTGTGTGTGTGTGTGTGTGTGTATATGACGTATGTGAGTATCTGTGAGCTTATGTGAGTGTGTGAGTATCATGAGCGTGTGAGTATCTATGAGCGTGTGTGAGTATCTATGAGCGTTTATGAGCGTGTGTGAGTATCTATGAGCGTGTGTGAGTATCTATGAGCGTTTATGAGCGTGTGTGAGTATCTATGAGCGTGTGTGAGTATCTATCCTGTGTGATCGTATGTGAGCATATGTGAACGTGTGAGCATATGTGAGCGTGTGTGAGCATATGTGAACATGTGTAATATGTGAACGTGTGTGAGCATATGTGAACATGTGAGCATATGTGAACGTGTGAGCATATGTGAACATGTGAGCATATGTGAACGTGTGTGTGAGCATATGTGAACGTGTGTGTGAGCATATGTGAACGTGTGTGAGCATATGTACATGTGAGCATATGAACGTGTGTGAGCATATGTGAACATGTGAGCATATGTGAACGTGTGTGTGAGCATATGTGAACGTGTGTGTGAGCATATGTGAACTTGTGTGAGCATATGTGAACGTGTGTGAGCATATGTGAACATGTGAGCATATGTGAGCGTGTGTGAGCTCCCAAGCACAACTGGCCAGATTGACGCGACAGTGACAGGACGCGCTTAAAATCCGACCCCTTAACTGAATCACCATAATAACACGGAACCCGCCGAGACCCTGACGAATGCTGGCCTCTGATTGGTGGGAGAGAGTCTGATCTTGACGATGATTGGCTTAAGGGGTTGAACGTTTATTTTTTTTATTTTGGCGCGCGGAGGGAAACGTTTGTTTACCTGTGCGGCGCCTTCTCCAATTCTCAATCATCAATGGTTTTTATTTGGTGTTTTACTCTCTCTCTCTCTCTCTAGCTCTACCTCTTTGTCAGTTTGTCTGTCTCTGTCTGCCTCTCTCTCTCTCTCTCTCTCTCTCTTTGTCAGTTTGTCTGTCTCTGTCTGCCTCTCTCTCTCTCTCTCTCTCTCTCTCTCCCTCTCGCTCTCTCTCTCTTTGTCAGTTTGTCTGTCTCTGTCTGCCTCTCTCTCTCTCTCTCTCTCTCTCTCTCTCTCTCTCTCTCGCTCTACCTCTGCCACACCTTCAAAGGTTATGGCATTTAAACTCCTCTCTCTCTCTCTCTCTCTCTCTCTCTCTCTCTCTCTCTCTCTCTCTCTCTCTCTCTTTCTTTCTTTCCCTCTCCTCCTCCTCTCCCTCTCTCCTTCCCCTCTCCACCTCCCTCCCTCCCTTCATCTCACCACTCCTTCCTTCTATCTAAATACATCCCATCCTTCCATCCTTCCATCCTTCCATCCTTCCATCCTTACCTTCTCTCCTTCATGCTCACTAAGGTAATTAATACAAGGCTTTGAGTAACACATTAGAGAAGCGAGTGAGTGGAGGGAGAGTGGAGAGGGAGAGTGGAGAGAGTGGAGGGAGAGCGGAGGAGAGTGGAGGGAGAGTGGAGGGAGGCAGAGGAGGTGGAGGGAGGCGGAGAAGCGGAGGAGGTGGAGGGAGGAGAGAGTGGAGAAAGTGGGAGAAGGAGGGAGGGGAGGTGGAGGGAGAGTGAAGAGAGTGGAGAAGTGGAGAGAGTGGAGGGAAGTGGAGGAGAGAGTGGAGAGAAGGGAGAGTGGAGGAGAGTAGAGGAGGTGGAGGGAGAGTGGAGGGAGAGTGGAGGGAGGCGGAGGCGGAGGAGAGTAGTCTCTTTCAGCAACCCACCACACTACTTCCTCCATCATTCCGGTAATTAGTGAGTTGTGGAAGACGCCCGGCCCCTTCCAGGTGAAGTGTGTGTGGGGGAGGGGGGGGTAGGAAGAGGAGGAGGAAGCGTTTATAAGAGATATGAGGAGGGGCAGGTGTTACAGGTAATGATCAGTCATTATTGTTCCGACCCACCTGTACCAGGCTCACACACACACACACACACACACACACACACACACACACACACACACACACACACACACACACACGTCATCCTCAGCGCTTCTGTCTGGAGGAAGATGCCAGGAGGATCAAATTGTGCCCCTACCCTCCCCTTCCTCCCCCCCAACACCCCGTCTCTCACTCCTCTTTCCCTCCCAGCAAGAAACCAGTCCAAGAAATCCCCGCCAACTCGCCACGACTACACCCTATGGTCCTGGTACACACACCATCACACCTACACCTCAGCTACACTACAACCACACCTTATTGTATGTTAACTACCACACCATGTATGTTCACTACCACACCATGTATGTTAACTACCACACCATGTATGTTCACTACCACACCATGTATGTTCACTACACACCATATGTTCACTACCACACCTTAGATAACCTCTTTGACATGTGACCCAATTAATTATATGACCCATGACCTATATGTAACCCATTATGTGACCCATTAAGCATCATACCCATGACCCCACGTGACCAGTTAAATATGTGACCCATGACCCACGTGACCCATGACCCACGTAACCCATTAAACACGTGACCCAAGAAGCACCTGACCTGAATACATTCACCAAAGACTCCATAACAACATTAACAATTAGGCCTTACATCATTACTCGCCTCTGTTCCAACACAAACACAACCACCCCACTTTACCCACCTAACCCCAAACCCACCTAACCCCACCCACACCCACCTCAAACCCACACTACCCCACCCACCCCACCCCACCTCACCCCACCTCACCCCACTAACCCCACCTCACCCCACCCCACCTAACCCCACCCCAACCCCACCTCACCCCACCCCAACCCCACCTCACCCCACCCACCTCACCCCACCTAACCCCACCCCACCCCACCTCCACCTAACCTAGTAACGTTAAGTGCCTGTCACACAGGTCCTGTAGGCGGCGTCAGTGGTCATGTGATAG